GCAGCGCCCGTACAGTGTACCTTGCTTTGAAGTCGGAAGCTTGCACACGCAAACATGATATGCAATAGTCAAAATTACCTTCAAGCCGGAGCAACGGTTGCGTTGGCACCAGCGTCAGCCCTACAACCCTGCCAGTTTCTCCAAGCAGCTGGTTCTCCTCACATGCTAAACGGTCATAGAGTTGAAGAGAACGCTCAGCCTGCTCGTCGTGGCCTCCGACATCCTGCCGCACAACATCTTTGAGCTTCACAGTACCTGCCCCTAGCTTTAACTTGAATCCAAGAGGCAGAAGCAGCCTCAGCGAAAAAAACCAGGAGCTCCGGGGCAAAGTCTTCTCCTTTTGACAGACACTATAAAAACGGCTTGTGGAAGGCGGGGTAAGGTCTCGTGTACCACGGCATGCAATGCCAAGCACAGCTGGCTACGACCGAGGAAGGGCTCCTGTGGAAAATCGACTTGCGTTACCCTCGATGATGACAAAGGCATCGTCTACAAGCTTGTGAGCCCTTGCGACCAATGAAGTCATGTCTGGGCAACATGTCATGCCGAGTCCCAGCACTTCTGAGGCCGGAGCTGTTGCTCACTGGCCTTTGTAGCCTCTTGAATAAGCCGCCGCAGGTGGTAATCCGTTGAGGCCATGCCTCTTCAGAAAAAGTTGCAACAAGAAACTCCGCCTCACGCCCGGCCCGCTTCATGCACGAGTTCAGGCCCTTCATCCCCGTCACTTGGGCCTCGGCCGCAGCCCTGAGCTCAGTGCTGGCCTCGCGCGAGCAGGTTGCGTCACGGTGCCGTGAAGTGCGACAACTGCAGAACCCTTTGGGAAAGAAGCAGGCGGCCCCCCATGGCCTTGACCAAAGGAAAGCGGGTGAATTCGATCGGTGCAGACCGCAACCAACATGCATTTGCTCAAAGATTCATTTGTGTGCCAATGTCGGTTTGCTGGGTAACTTCGCCCGAGGCTGAGCCTGGCATTTTCTTGGAGAAGTCTTTTAAACCTCTGCATCCTGGTCAAGAGTATGTGAACGGCTCTCCCATCTGACAGAATTCAGCGAGAAGTCTCGTGAACCTAGGTGGCCTTGAGCAGTGTATGATAAGCTGCCGGTCTGTCTCAATTTTGAAGTGCAACTGCCCCGGGTGCAAGGCGACGTGGCAGCAACTGCAGTGGTACATTTTCACATGCACTTACTGCTTGTCTTGGTGCGAGTACTTTGGCATAAGTTGCATGCAATGTCTTGCAAGGACGTCTCGCAAAGCGGCGAAGCAATGGTATCTTCTTGTCAGACCCACCCGCCTGAGACCTTGCCGTCCTGGGAATGCTGGTGACCTGGAAGCCGCTGGAAGCCTGCTAATCTTCCAAGGCCTTGCTGCGAGGGTTTTCTACAAAATTGCCGAGGTTCAAGCTCCCACGGACGCTTTACATTTCGCCCTGTAAAGGCTCAAGGGGGCTGGATGAAGGGCTAGCTGTGAAAGTCCGAAGGTAGCTTGATCTCCTTCAAGAAAGAGCTCTAAAGCTTGGGATGCGAATTATATCGTGCACTGCTAGGGACTGCCCAGTGGATGACGAAGCTCCATCCAGTCGCACACCTATGTCCGCCGATTTCTGGTGCTGCTTGAAGTGTGATACAATGTGATGATGTCGGCTGTTTGTAGCTATGCTCCCACAAACAACACAGCGCGCAGCAAGAGCTATCCCTGCGCAAGAATACTCGCTGGGCTGCTGGTATCGGAAGTATGAAGTCACGGAAATGACGGACACAGGTTTTTGGGGCAAAAGCTCCCTGAACCTTTCGTGTGGGCCCGACTTGCTTGCGGGACACCTCTCAACTCAGGCGTGGCAGCACAACCTGGGTTGGCTGCCAAACGCCTTAGCTGCCAAACAAAGCCCTGTACAGAAAACCGACACTCACTGTTGGAGCAATGGTTCTTGAATTCAACTTCAACCGCATAACGTATCTTCATGATCGCATAACTCCTGCACATGGTGCTGTCACACCTGCCTGTGCGCCCAGAGTTGGACAACATCTGGGGTGCTCAATAATTGACAGCGACTACAGCGGAAGTGCATGCTTATCTAAAATCGGTGACGAAAAAGCCTTAATGAAACGATAGATCAAGAAGTAGGAAGTGCCTGGAAGAAGTCTATTTTTGACTTTGTGCAAGCAAGTTGTTTCCGCGGTGCAGGGCTGCAGCAACTCGGACGAAACGTCTGATGCCGCGCCACGGCAACGATGGGTCGCATCTCATGTATGGTCTCTGGTTCTCTTTCGATGACTCTGTCATTGGCATACCTGAAGATCCTGTGTCGTCTAGTCATGGCGTCCCTGAAATGCTCTGAAGCATTGCTTCCATACCATGGCGCAGCACTACAATTGTAGAAAATGGGTGAAGAAACAGGCATGTCTGTCGAACATCAAACCAGACTTGCAGACTTCCGACATCTTCGCAGCTGTAGACTCTAGGAGTGGTCTAGGTTACGTCGAGAGTAAAAAGGGCAACAAGTCGGCTTGGAAAAACAGCCACACCAATTAGTCGCAAGGCCTACCTGCGGTCAAAAGCCAAAAGATGAACTTGCACGCTCCAAGCCGGAAATCCCTTCTAAATTCTGCATTCCCCTGCGTGGCTTGGAGCATTCGCAGCGATTCGACCTGGGCCTTCCCTCAGCGACTTCCAGTCTTGAACGACCTGTTTGCCAAAGTGACGAGAATACGTCACAGTATGTAACATTGTAACAATTCCGACCGAAGTCAAGCCGGCTTCGTTGACATCCTCCCCAACCTGTGCAATGAATCTTCGATCAGGACATATGAAATCAAGCGGTGCTGGCGCCTTGAAGTCTGAGCATGCTCCTGGACGATTAGCCTGACGTCAGACGTGAGGCTTGAGCTCTGGGCAGCATGATCCCTCTGAGTCGAAACCATGTGCTGGTACTGTTCGGCACTTTACGGGTGGTTAGCGGTGCATGAACCGACCCTTCCAACAAAGGCTACCGGTCTACTGACTTTATCAATCCTGCGATCTTTCACCGTCAGCTGGCACAAAGGGCATGGTTTTGAATTAGGCGCTATCTGAGTGCAGTCCAGGCGCCGTAGTAAGATTTGTTCCGCACAAGGCTTGGCTCGAAGGTGCGGCTAGATTGCTTCCTGTTTCAGCGTCGAACATGTCGCAGCATCACCCAAGTAGAATCTTGTGAATCTCAGGTGCTGACGGGTCAGAATTTCTCGGCTTTGCCTGGCATTGGTCAGACGTCCTACAATGCTTTGATTGCTGTGAATTAGGCGACTCCCTGCCTTTAAGGAGTGTTGACCACGGGCTCGGGCACGGCTCCCGGCAACCACCATCTTCTTGTAGAGGTCCTAATCGTCAATGCACTGCTGAGGTGCTCCAATGCCAGCTCATGCTGAGAGGATTGTTGCAAGCTCTACTGAGAAGGGCACTGCAGGAACTGTTGTCATCTTATCGATGTAAACCTTCAGCAAGTCTAGCATGGATACTTCCAGAATGCCCATGTACTATGGCATCGGACGTAGGAGTGGCATCTGTAGGACTCCGACTGCCTCCTGAACTTGACTCGGCTTCGTTGCTTGACAGCGCGGATTTCCTGTCGTGTCAGGCACCTGGCGAAAGATTTGTGGATGCCACGAAACATGCTCATCAAGAAGCTCAGCCCTCCACGCATTTCTTGGGTGTGTAAGCCGCGGCCTCGTGAAAGAGCCATCATTACATGCCGATAATGCTCACAGCCTTCATCTCGTGCCTCGTGCAAAGGACGTTTGCAGTTGCATAATCTCGCCTCAACGGAAGGACCCCAACTCTAATGCAATCGTCATGCGCAAGGTTTCGCTCAGGCTCACGCGAACCATGTGCCAAACCTAGCAATAGCTGAACAACCCGAGATGCAACCTCAAAAACAGCCAGCATCTGCTGTATGCCAAGCGGCGACGAGAAAGCCATCGGGAGTCGGATTGATGCACCCTCCCCGTCTCCGAATAATTTGGAACAAAGTCTCTGCATCAAAACTGAAGTTCAAGGATGCTGCTGCATGTATGTCCATGACGACATAGTCGTTCTCGGAGGGCAGCTTTCTGCATGCGTTCTCTGTTCTTGGGCTCGGGCTTTCTCTTTATGTGGTTTGGTTTACAAAATGCAACACTGAAGACTGCATGCCCCTCGGTGTGTGTGTGTGTGTCAAACAACGACTCCGCGTCCTTGCGGGTGCCTGGCTGCCGACTTCTGAACTCCCCAAGCGACAGATTCAAACCTGCAACCTTTGCAAGGGGCTGTGTTTCAACAGTTGCATCTGGTACTCCGGAGGGCGCATTCTTGCAGCAGAGCAAGTGGCCAGTCCAACCTTGTACCCGAGTTGTGGCCTTCTCCAGGGTTGCCATAGGTTGCTATAATTGCGCCCCAAGCATCTGCAAAAACTCTGTTCCGTCCGCTTAAGACGATGCTGGGCACTCGACTCGCAACCTTTGGCAAAATGACGTCAGTATGGATTTCCTAGGCAACATGCGGCAAGAGTCTGAGTCTAAGCAATGCCCATAGGTCTTCCGCCTCCTCTGAGATACCTTAGCCACCCGAAACCTCCATTCAATCAAAACTGAAATTGATGCATCCAAGAAGGAGGTCGCAAACAACTCCGGCACTTGGCCATCTGGGAGATGCGCAAGTCACTCTCCGTGTCGGCTTATCTGCGACCAAATTTAATCACACGATCCTTTGACACTGGACAGCTCGGTGGCAAAACTACTGGAAGGCGAAGGCACTCAATTATTGGTCCGCCCTGCCCCCCCCCCCCCCCCCCCCCACCAGTGCCTAGAATTCAATTGCCGACGCATTTTCGGAATGCATTGGCTGAGCTTGTCAGAGGACGATCGGTCCTCACCGCTCGAGGCGGTGCTGCAGCAAATGTGAAACCCACGAGACAGCGGCTCGTTGGAGCGTGGAGCTTCCGTGGGCCCCGTGGGGCGGTCAATGCTTTGGACCTCCTCAAGTCGGGGCCGTCATGCCTGCAAGCAGCGACTCCGGTGGAGGACTCTGTGGGAGGAAAATACCACAACTCCAAGCGTGGCAGCGGGCAATGCCTGTTGACGCCTCTTCTTCGGGAGACCGAGCTCTTCACGAACTCCGGCAATGTCCTCAGCATCCGGAACTCTTGCCGAACTGCATTTTCCACGCACTGTCGGAGCAGCAGCTGTGGGATGGTAGGGCTCGCACCAAAGGCCACTTGAAGAAACCGCTGCGAGTTGAGGAAGTGGCCTCGCTGAGGACAGCCACTGTGAAGACGTGCGAGCTTCAGCGAGCAAGCCGCCGAGTCGGAAAGATACAGCAGCAGTGCCACTGGTGTTCCGAGAGCACCACTGGGCTGGACCTGGAGGCCTTGCGAGAATCCTCTGTAGCATTTTCGAGATTGATGCTCTTAGACATCATATGTCCCGTCCTCACCATCCACCGGAGACTCCTCGGCTCCTGTGGTCCAATCTCTGACTGTTCACCATTTGGGTGGTCGATGCATTTATTAGTAGTCCTGCATCCCTCAGAGTCGACGCCCCTGCTGCAGCATCAGGCGTTGCCACTGCCGGTCGGAGACACTGCCTGAAACTCACTAAAAAAATACCAAGACCAGAACATCAACTGGGTGGCATGACAGACTTTGTCTCGCGAGCTCTCCAGGGGATCGCTCCTCCCATCGGAGACAGTCTGAGGCTGCTGCTTTCGATCGAGCTTCGCCTGCAAAAGCGAGAAGACTGGCTCGTGAGGGGCCAGACCTGTGCTTGCCAAGATGCTTGCGGCGTCGGCCTGAACACCAAACTCAGAATTTCGCATCTTTGTTTGGCCTCGAGTCGAAGCCCCTCATGTCTGAGGGGCAGGCACCGAGTCGGCTGCCTGACACGTTTCTTCCGCTCGTCAATCATTAGACTCATTAGACCAGCTGATGAAGCTGTTCTGACGGTTCTGTTATGCAGGTCAACGACCTTCACCGGCTGGTGAGCCACTTGACTGAGCGTGAGCTTCTTCTGTGATTGCGGCTGAGCTACAAGGATCTTCGAAGGCGTTCGCGAGGGCATGCGGGGAAGCGTCGAAGACTGCCTAGCTTGCCCCGTCCAAGCGCAGGCTGTGGCCTCACCTGACGAAATGCGACGAAGATGTCCTTTCCAGTCCATCTGCATTGCTTTCATCGAGGCTCCCGCGGCCGCTTGCATGTTGCGTGGCAGCGGGCGGAGCACTTTGAGCGTTTGCGGCCATACTCTCAAGAACTTGCTGCAACATCATCTCCTGAGGCTTGTCATTGCGATTGCTCGCGCCCATGCTCGTGCAAGGCCAGCCACAGGATAAGACCTCCCCTCCCGTTTGCTTCCAGGAATCGATTCGCCCAAGGGACTCCTCCAATTGGCCTCACAAGCGTCAAAGCGCAGCAGCGAAGGAGCATTTGCTTGTATCGGAGCTATCGATTCTCGGAGCAGATCAATGCCTACTCGGCTGGCTAACGTCTCGTCCGAATGTGCTGTTCCCGGAGATGCTCGAGCCAGGGTTTGCCATTGTCTGGGCCTTGGTTTCGGCACTGCGAAGCTCACAGAGGCCAGCCAGTTTTTCAGTCAAGCAGCTCTGGCGAAATGCCGACACGGTCGGCCACTGCAGCTTGAAATGGTGAGGTCTCAGGTCAACATTCCGGCATGTGGGCACCACAAAAGTGCTCCCGGCTGCGTCAGTGGCTGCATCAGCGCCTGGCCTCGTACTTGTTCTTGAAATCTAGCTCGCTCAGCATGGGATTATGACGGTCCTGATCGGATGCTCTCCAACCACTGTTCCAAACCCCGTCTGTCTCGCTACCCTGCAAGTCCCAATGTTTGCCACTGCACGAGCTGAAGCCTGACAAGGTTCGGATGGCATCGCAGGCGATGCTTGCCAGACCCTGTGCTGCAGCGCTTCCATGCGAGTGTTGAATGCTGTGGGCTCCGGGCGGTCTCGAGGATTCTGCGAAGCAGGCCTGGTTCTGTCTCCGTTCTCGCATCTCTCGATATGGAAGGGGTTGCTCTCTGACTGCTTGTCGACCGCGGAGCGACGGGATAGCCGTGATGCAGGGCTGACGGAGGGGGAAAGAGATTGGTCGAAGCGCTTCGGGGACCGAAGCGCTTCTGCCCCCTCTGCTCCTTCCCTTTCTGTGAAGATGGGACGGAAGGTCGCGGACTGCGACCTGCCCGGGGCCTTCTTGGCCTCACCGCCCTCTTCGCCCTTGGAGGATGCTTTGCACAGCCATCGGACGGCACTGGCAGCGTTGGCGACCTTGTGTACTCGGTCGTATGTGGAGAGGATGCTGATGGAGCCACGCCTGCTCGGAGAATGTGAGCCACGGGATCTCCCGGAGCTTGGCGGCACCTGGGAGCTCGGCGACGGCTTGAAGTGCCGACTCGGAGAAGCGTCCTTTCTGGAACTCCCGCGCTGCTCCTCCAGAGCCAAAGCTGTGCCGCTATCATTCCTGAGCGGTGTTGCCGAACGCGTCGTCTTCCACTTACTCAATTTCTGGGTCAGCTGGTCCATACGGCACATGAATGCATCTTCGCCTTGGCCATCACCCATCGCAGTGTCAGGATGACCCAACGCCAGAGTTCTGCGACACTGCGAGGTTGAAGCTGAGTGTATTTTTTCAGCTGAGCTATAGCGTAATTTACATACTCGGAAGCATGTTCAAGCCAACGTCTCTAAAAGCAAGTGTGTTGGAAAGTTTGCCGATGAACCGTGGCGCTAGCCCGGACACTCCGAACCCCTCAATGCTTGCAGCTGCGATGCCAAGCAACTCTGCACAAGCCATCGTCTTGTTTCTGCACGGGCACGGGCACGCCACGTGCAATGATTAACGAAGATCCGCTCTCCGTTGGTCTTTGACCAAAGAAATCTAGAGCAACATGCAAAAAAAAAAACTACTGACTCTTGCTTCCCTACAGGAGTGCAATGAAACAAGAGGTCATGGTGAGCGCTATCTGTGCTTTAACTCATCTCCAACCGTATGGCTCCGTTCGGCAACGATGGAACACTCACACGCGCCTCCATGCAGCACCGGGGGGCCTGCCTCCCCCCTGTATTCCTCCAGCTCAAAAGTCTGACGATACGCGGCCCTGACTCAGCATGCCATCGGAGACGACGGCTACCATGTCCGCTTCACTAGCTTCAGAGCCGACATCACCTTGCGAGATCATGCAAGGTGTGCTCATGTGGGCATGGAAGCAAATCCTCACGAAGCACGCGGCGTATCCCAGCCGCCTGCAGCACGAAGAGTTGGTGAGTCGTCCGCCGAAGAGACGGCCTGTCCGAGCCTTGGCAACAATTCGAACCTGTCCTGCTGGCTGCCTAGCTGCCTTGCTGAGCCCAAGGCGAAAGGTCCGGCGGGGCGTTCTGCAGGTTTGACAACATGCCCGCAGCCTGGAAGACCCGAAAACTCTAAAATGCTTGAAGCGTCAACTGTGACAGCTGGTCTCCGAGCTCAGTGCCTCTTCCAGCGTCTTCGTAGCACCACGGGCGACGCTGGGGTAGCCCCGGTCAGCGACATCCTCTTCGCTAGCATGAGTGAGCAGTGTACCGCATGTAGGCAAGTTTGAAGGACAGAAGGGATGTTGCCACCCGCCAAAAAAATAGGTCCTTGCTCTCATTGCGAGAGGCCGACAGTTCCAGCAGAGTTCTCGCCGCTGAGCCGTCTTCAACGCGCATCGTCTCCCACGGATCCTCGCACGATCGTCAAGCCCGCACGAACTTGATAACTTAAACAAGAATAAAAGACCAAGAGACCCGAAAGCCACCAACGGAGCTGGTGGTCGCGGTTCTTTCGCGACCTGAGTCTCAGCCGCTCTAAGCCCCACAAATGTGTGGGAAGCCTCATTGTCGAGGGCTGCACGGGGTTGAGGCTCCTTGATCTGAACCCGATCTCGCGGAAGCAGGCCTTCACAGCTCGACTGCGAAAAGAAGACTTCTCGTAGAATTGATGTGGGCCACACCTAGGCGGCCTTGCATCCTCCTGTCCAAGGACTTGGGAGGCAGAGCCAACTCCCGCAACCTGCACATCTTCCGCTTCAGAGTCCCTCTGCGAGCACTCAAGCATCCAGCCTCTCACCGTAATCGACGTCCTCGTCGTCCTCGTCGGAACCTATTCGAATCCGCTTACGGCTCCTCAGCTGCCACAAAGAGCAAGCCCCTCAAAGCCATCTGCAAGCAGACGCATCATGTATTCAAGAGAAAAGTCTAAGCGAGAGACGCACTAGGTCCTGTGATGCGTGCATATACACGGCTGAACCGCGCACAATGCCAGCTCATCACATCATGCCAACTCATGCCAACACTTCAAACTTATTTCAACTCTTCTGCTCTCATTGCTGTAAAGACATTCAGCACGTGCAACATCTGCGACACGTCCAACGGCGTCCCATGGGATATCACTATCCCACCAGCACACGTCGAGTGTCGTCGTTGCTGCAAGACTGAGTTGGCTGCCCTCTGCTTCACTCCGTATCTCTCTCACGCGAAACCCATATAGACGTTTGCTTTAAACACGCAGACAGACACACGCACACATGCACATGAGACACACACACACACACCACACACACACACACACACACACCGACCGTAGACACACCATCAGATGGCCGAGTCTCTGCGCCAGTGCAGCGCCGGGTTGGTCCTGGGCAGCTTCCCGCACGAGGCAGGTAGCATCGTCGGATGGGCCACACCAGGGAACGTAAGAAGCAGCCTAGAGCAAAATGACCCACAGGATCCTTGGGTGATCCCGGCCGTGCCATTCCAGGAAGGCTGTAGAACTCCACCTGTCCAGATACGGGACCTTTCGACTGGTTGCCTGAAACACCCACATGAAATAATCCTAATTGCTGTCCAGGTCGCATCAGACAAGGCGGCGGCAGCTGCATCTTTGTATGTGGGAGAATGGCCGTAGCCCCCATGCCTCAGTCGCACCTATAGAGTTGGCCTGCATACCGGCTGCCACAAGTGCCACCATGTAGCAGCATGTTGTCGACCAGGACCTAGGCTCAACCCGACTTTCGCTTCGTTGGGACTCACTGGCGGCTCCAACTAACCCCTGTACTTGCCAGCCCAGTGGCGTCCAAGTCTGAAGATGGCAGCCCGTCCCGCATCGCGCGGACGATGCGAAACTTCTCCTCGACTATGGCTTGATTGGGCCGGAAAACATGCAGGCAACTAGCAGCGCCATGCTCACTTGCCGAACTTCATCCATACGGCCAGGGTTCGTATCCCAATCCAACACCGTTGTTGATCAAGCCTGAGTGAAAGCTGACTTGACTGGCTTGCTGCGCACTGCATGCCACACCCTGCATCCAAGGGGCGCAGTCGCTCCTAAGCGAAGACAAAAGCACTGTGTCAGTCTGTCTGACTTTGCTGCTTCTTTTGGCTCAGGTCAGAGCTTCCTCGAGGTAGATAGGGAGCTTGTGCTCGGCATCCCTCAAAAGACAGATCGCTCACTCTCGACTCGAGCATGCCGAAAGCCGAGCTGCTTATCATTCTTGGTCTTGTCCTCGTCCGAGTCCACCTGAAACAAAACACGCCGTCCTGTGCCTGTGCCTATGCGGTGCTGGACCAAAGTCTTCGAGCCGCCTCCTCCTCAGGCCATGGCTCTTCCTCCTCGTCCGCATTCTCGAGCCTGAAAGGGGCGAGTTTGGCACGTGGTCAGAGGCAACAAAGGTTTTTGTTCGCAAGGCTCGGGCCGAAGAGATGCAGACTTGCTGTTGACCCTGGAGTCAGCCCTGAGAGCACTGACGGTGCGAACATAGCTGTAACATGCTGACTTGCTCGGCGAGGTGCGGTGATCTGCCAAGAAGCGACTCCGGCGTCTTGGAGCCTCAACCCAGGCCGCACGCCGCACATCAGTCAACGACGTGTCTCTGCGATGCGAGGCCTGAAGGCAGGTTCGTCCCGGTACGTGATGACCCCACCTGGCCACTGTCTCTCAGCAGCGCACTGTCCGCACTGTACGTATCCCAACTCAGAACGAACAGTCGGGAGCTGTTTTTCCCAGGCTCAGGGTCTGGCTTTCGAAGTGTCGCGTGAGCCACTGGCCGAACCAGTCGGAATTCGCATCGCTTTCACCGGAACTGGCAGGAAACCCGTAGCTTAGCGGCTTGGCAGCTTAGCACTGCACTGAATTGTTGTCCTGGCCTGCTTGCGAGTTGACAGGCTCCTTCCGACTGGCACTGCGGCATCTGCGTAGGTCTAGGTGGTTCGGGAAGCATCCGGGTGGAGTATGGCGAGTCAAAGCGAGAGCTCCTTGGGGATGTACTTTGGCAGAGGGTTGCCGTCTTTGTCCTCGAAGCGCTGCAGGCCCCGCGGCCTCGCGAAGTGGCAGCATAAGACAGTGAGAGGAGAGGCAGAGAGAGAGAGAGAGAGAAAAAAAGCAAAGAATCGTTTTCGCCGAACGACTTGACGCCATTGGCCATGTAGTACCGGACAACATCACGAGGAAGGTGCGCCCTTGTCGGCTCCATGCTGCAGAACTGCGCGAATGCTCCGATGACTTGTGGCTACCTGGTGTAAGGCGCAGGCAGTGTCGCTGCGGACAAATTCGAGGGATCATCTGCATGATCTTTGAAGGCTATGAAGTGCACCTTACAGCCAAACTTCTTCACAGAACTCATGATGCGACAAGCTGTACGTCTCAGAAAAAAGCACGCTCGTGAATGCTGGGGGTGAGGCAAGCTGTCTGAGGACAAGCTCGCGCTGAGCTTCCCCTAGCATGCCGAAACCCCACAGATCGAATTCAACTGACATCGAAAACCCTGCCAAGACCAACCGCGAGCTCATTGCTTTTCTGCTTTCTGTGTCCAGTCGCGAGATCGACAAGGGACAGAGACTTGCACCCCTCCTCCAAGTTCCAGAACCCTAGGCATAGGTCGGAAAGTGGATGGCCGCGACGGAACAAAGTAGAATCGCAGGCAATTGCTCCATGTGTGTACAAGTTAAGCAGTCGCCCGCAGTCCAAGCTGAAGAGATGGGCGCTGACGAATGGAGGAGATTCCTCCATGGCTGAACAGCCTTTAAGGAGCACAAATCGGCCCAGCATCGGCTTGGGCACTGAAACTGTGGCAAGGCCACGCGTGCAGAATGGACAAGTCAAGCGGATAGGTGTGGAAAGGAGTTCACCATGATGAGCCAGCTGCCATACATGAAGTTCACGTTCCTTTGCTTCAAGGTCTGCAGCTTCTACGAAGGCCAGCATGCCACACCTGACGGCTATAGAGCACGACAGAACACGTGAGCCATGAGCAGGAAACAGCTGGCAAGAGTATAAATCGATCGGCTTGGTATGCGTGCCGTACTCCTCGGAATCCTCAACCATCAATGCTACATGCAACACGTTGGCCGAATCGATGGCAACCAGCAGCCTTTCCAACGGTGAGGTGGCGAATGTCACCAAGACACACTCCGAATCCTGAAGGCCCGGAACCCAGCAGGTCAGTAAACCTCAGGTCGGCAGCTAATTCGTGTGCCACCAGGATGGAGGAAGGCACTAAGCGCATCGCTTGGTGCAGCTTGCACATCCCAGAACTCGACATCCCGGCCTCCTCGCAGGAGGCGGGCTCTGCTGTTGCAACTCTACCGACTGTACCAGGAAAAGCCGCGCACCTTCTTCAAACCAGGTCGCAACCACGCCACGGCCACAGGGCCGTCCTTGCAACCCTTCCTCAGGAAAGTTTGGTGTGACCCGCCAGGCTATCGGCCCTATCGGAGCCTCTGAGACGCTGACTCCATCTTTGTCCGGATGATCATCGGGTGGAACGCGGCAAATTTGAGCGCCACCAGCGACATCCCACACGAGCAGCATTGTGGAAGTCTCTATGACTAGCCTCCTCTCTGCCAGAAACAGGTCCGTGGCGCAGTGAAGCAGGTCAATCTCTTGCTCTTGCACAAGAGGTAACTCCTCAGCATTGGAGCAATGCGGCAATCAGCACGCTCCAGAGACCATCGAGCGAAAGCTACACCCAGGGTAGACAAGGCAGCCCCGTATCAAGACGAGACTCGCCAATGTGCACGCCCGCGAATGAATACATGTCAATCTGGGATGACCGGAGGAAGCAAGTCTAAAGAAAGTTTTATAGGCTCGTCCGGCACATCATGCATTTTGCAGCACTGGAGCAGGAAAGAGACTGTATATTGCGACTGCACTGATTCACTATTTTTGATGCGCAAGCCTCCAGCCAGACTTGGAAGTGGTAGGAATCTGTAGAATCTTTACGTCCTGTCTTCTGTATGTTGGGGAGATTCTCGGTCATTGGGTGAGCTGTGCATGGTACTACTTGCAGCTAGCCTGTAGTTTTCAAGATGCTGCTGGGACTGGGGGCCAGGACTGACATCATGGCTCGCTGCCAATCTGCATAATGACAGGAACTCCAGATGGCAAAACAATGTGAAATGCCCCCTTCACAACTCAATGTGTCCGAGACCACAGACACTCAACGCTGACTGCACGATTCTCTATGCCTACCTACGCATTAGCATAAGATGTCATGTCCCGCACATTCCGGCCATGCATACACACGGACAAACTTCCAGGACGGTGTCTCGGGCCTTTGAAGCACTCGCCAGGAGGAAAATGCAGCTTTGCCCGACCACAGCACGCAAGGGTTCTACTCCATCGCTGCATCGGCTTCGCCAAAGTACCATCACCTTCTCTGTCGTCACGTCCTGTATCACACTTTCGCAAATGTCTTGAGCAGGTGCAGGTCTGCTTGCTGACCACCTGTGTCAGCCAAGATGCATGTAAAGCGCAGGATACGCCATCGTAGCACAAGACAGCAAGTGCATCCAGTGACTCGCTCGGTACCACCAGCGACCACTGCCTAAATGTGCGACAAAGTTCGATCTGCTGAAGTCTGGGATCGAAGGGGCTCAGCCAAGTTGCAATTCCATGTCTTGCCGAAGCGGGCAAAGCGGAAAGCGGCATTGTCGTTGGCGAGGTGCGCTCGTTCCCGCGGCGGACCCACCTCCTCCCAGCTGGTTTAATCTGTCGGATGCCCTCGTAAGCCGAAGGAATAGCCCTTTCCACTGCTTCGGGAGCTGGTAGGTAAGGTCAAGGAACTCGCCCCCGAATTTCTGCAGCAGTCTACGCTGCCACGATGGATGCTGGTTTGCGGCTTCACAACACAAACGGCAGGCGCTGCAGAGTTTGCACCTGAAGCCCAAAACTAGCAACTGCGAATTCGAAGGCTTTCAGGTGGACATGGTTGCAGCTGAGTCTATGTTGGAATCCCGGCACAACGTGTCATCTGGCAGGAACCAAAGCAGCAGACTGTGCCTGAGTGCTGCAAGTGCTGCTGCATGCGATGACAACTCATCCTTCATGCCGGGCAACTGCAAGCATCGGAAAGCACACAGTCTCCTGAGCCCTCGACACACAGTGGGGAAGCTGTGAGATGTATCGAAGGGACGCCATCTCCGGCTGTCCAGGATCCATGCCCGAACTGGCACTGCTGGCTTGGCTTATCGAGTCGGCAAGGGACGAGCCTTCATCAGCCTACCAAGCTTCAGAGGTCCTACATGAAGGCGATTGCCTTGCCAAATCTGCCGCTTGAGCAAACATGCAAGGCAGCAAGCACAATTTCTTTGACTTTTTGAACCGTTGAACCGTCTGGACGCTCGTAGGATGGCCTTCATCGCCATCCAGCTTCAAGATCTGCCCGATGTCTTTCGCGAGCTCTCTGAGGAACTTGAAATCCTCAGCTGCTACTCGGCACGTCGGAAACTGAAGGCATTGAAACCAGATGCAGGGGGCCTGGGAGACCCCAATGCCCACGAAGATAACGGACAGTGGTATGCCAATGCATTCCCTGTTCAGCGGAAGAGAGTGTACGTACGGACCATGTTTTCAAGAACCTGTGAAGGAAAATGGCCTGATCTGCCGCACAACTTCTTCCTGATCCTGCAGACCACGGCAGGCAATCAGATCAAGACTGCCTGCTAAGCTGCTAACCAATAACATGTGCACAGGCCGAGGCATGAGCGAACTCTTTTCGCGACAGCCGCAAGTCGGCGAGTCACTGCCCCGTGCCAACACACACGGCTTCTGTGCCTTCGAGTTCGGGAGCCCTGAAACCTCCGTCCCTTCAAAGGGCACTCAATGAGAAATGTACGAAAGCAGCTCACTACGGCCAGTGTCCGGGTGCACCTGTCGGGGTTGGCAGCCGCAAGCTTGTTCAACTAGTGACTCGAGGACATTCCATCTTCAGCCTGATGATGATGAACATCGAGGAGAAGGATTTGCTCCTGAGGAAGCAGACCAGCATGCACACCGGCGTGTCCCGCTTTCTGGGTGCCGCAGTGGAGCTGAGTTGGGATGCTGAGTCAAGAAGATCACTTTGAGCAGCACGCCGAAGATGGTGAAGTACATCCTAGGACAAGCCATATGCATGCGGTAGGTGGCTTCACGTCAGCACATATCATAGATGGTTCCAGACTTTGCAAACCCAGATTCTCCACTGAGGCAGCCTGCCCGATGGTCTTGAAAAGCTTGTAAGCTGTAGACTCCTCGTCCTCCTCCTCCTCTGCATCCTGTCCAGAGCCGACGACCATGCCAGAGTTTGGTGAGTGCAAAAACCCTTGGAGGGAGATCGATTCAAACCTGCAGGCACATGCTAGCCCAGGGCCTGCATCGCATAGGAGTAGCCCGTGTCGTCTTGAAGCGTGTAACTTAGATGTGCCAAGGTTGTCCATACTGGCTCGCACGCCATCGCTCTGGACAGTGACAAGGCACTTCTCCCATCGATCCGCTAAATCATCGCACATGTCTGGACTGAACTCCTGCCCCAAAGGCACCGCGACAGCTTTTGGCGATAGCAACTGCATGGACGGGGCGGAACATGACCCATTGCTTCGAAGCTTTCATGAAGATCAGGATTGCTGCAGCGTTAGGTGTCGTTTCAGCAACCGGGAAATAAACTCAGCACGCCGATGGATTTGGCAGTCGGTAAAAAGCTGAGGAAGTCGCGCGATACAGTCTTTATTTGGCGCGGCAGCATCGAGGCAACCGAAACTGACAGCTGCGATGTCTCGCTCTTGCTGCTGCATTGAAGAATGGAAAGTTACCCACCCGCTGCCCCCGCACACAGGAGGGCTCTGGTCTGTTGTTGTCCAGCAGGCCCCCGTTCGGAGGGGCCCGGTTGGTCCGAGCCTTTCGACTCGCACGCTCTCTCAATCTCTTGCTTACGTGCTTGCTCCAGATCTAAGGCGCAGGCGCCACCTTCGCCCCCCCCACCCCTCCAGAGGATCTATACGTCCAGCGTCCGATCTCTTTCTTTCTCTCTCCCTCTCGCTCTCCTCCGCCTCTTCTTCTGTGTGGCAACCCCGTGCGTATCCCGGCAACCGCAGGTTCCGGCGTCCGGTCGCTTCGGAGGCATCGTCGCGTTCCTACATATTGACAAAGGTCTGGTGTCAGACCACAAGCGCAGAGACTCTTTGAAAAGGAAGCCCAGGAAACCTAAATCCAGAAACACACACACACACACTCCAACCCCAAAGAAAAGGTCCGCATAACCACAGAGTGAGAGGGAGAGATTGCACAAGCCCTGATCCCTGAACAGATAGCGTCAGACAGCACCGGCATTGACTTCTTCATGTCACGCTTTCGTGGGGACGGAGATCAGTGTATGATATGAGCCGGGGGAGACAGAGAGCGAGAAAAATGTAATGCATGCATGCATGTGCGTATGCATGCCTACATGTGTGCAGATGTGCACACATGCAAGGACTTAAAGCTAAGCAAATTATGATGGAGTGTACCGGAGGCCCAAGCTTGAATTGCGAGCTCTCGCGAAGAGTGGGAGATTGGAACCGGTGCCTCCTTCAACTGTGTGACATTCAGCGACCTGACTCCGAACACATACCGCACAATGTGTCAGAGTCTTCTGCACTCGGCAAAGCTCAGCATCCAGCTCCAGATCCTCCGCATCCCCCAGACCACACGGCGTATGATCATCAAACTGCGTCACCATACAGCGCAGATCTTTGCTGCACTTCAGGTCCCGGTGCTCGTGGGTATTGTATCCAGGAAGACCTGGGTAGGAACAGCAGCCTGGCATGTCCTTAGAGGCGCTCGCAGCTTCTGCTGAACTCCGGAGGCGGAGCCCCTCTTCAAAGCTCGTGCCGAGCTTCGGAGGCGATCTCACAATCCTCGAGGTTCCTAGGGACTGGCACCCTTTGCGCAATCATCAGAACACATGAAGACACGATTGCGTTCCGAGCATCTGAAAGTCGATGAACATGATGCCGGCTAGCCTGGGCATCTGAGGCAGGTTCGAGTCGGCCACCCGTGGCACGGAACAAGCTTTACACATCGGCTCGCGTCAAGCCAAGACGCACCAGGCCAAGCCACAAGCCTCCGCTCCTCTAGCTGTATGCTCCAGGTATGTCTCTCTTGCCGTTTTTTAAGCCAAGACTAAGACCCTAGCGGCCCTAGCGGCCCTAGCAGCCGAAGATGTAAGAGGTTCCCGTCCACTCCTGGGCTCTTCTCGTCGCGGTGGATCTTTCCAAGCAGCGAAGGCGAAGGTGGAGATGCCGATTGGACCAAGCAGCCGTGCTAAGGCACCAAAGAAGCTGCTGATGGCTCCTAGGTTTTTTTTGGACTTCTTTAGCTTTGGGTCGGAGCATGCGGACCGGCGGCTTGAGCTGAACGGTAAGATGCCAAGGCACGGGAAGCCTCCATCCTGTTCGCAGGAAAGTTCAGACGACATCTCAAAGCGGAGGCAAAGCCCAGAAGAAGAGCATGCGTGAAGCAAAATCTCGCAAAGCTTCGCAAATATTGTGTTGATGTTCCCGATGACAGCAAGGGACACGGTGAGCATAATCAGCATTGAGTCGTAGTCCTCAGCACTTCTTCAAGTCATGCATCCATCCACAAACTTTAAACTTCGAAGTGCTTCGACTTCACTCGGTTCCCATCTGCCAAGAATCCAAGAGGCTCGTGAAGTCCGACTCTTCAGCATCTCGCGCCCGCGCACAGAAAGTCAGCAGGAGTAGCGCAAGGCCACCAAGGCTGGCAACCAGTGTTGTAAAGTACGGCCAGGTCTGCGCGAAGAGCCTGTATCCTTCTGGGGAACACTCGGAGTGCTCGTGGAACTGGCGCATCAAGCCCACCCACACGCCAGCGACGGCGAGGAGCAGCACACTTCAAGGGTAAGATATAACAGAACAAGAGGCATGCTACTTCTACAATTGACCCGAACTTGCCTTGGCAAGAGCTTCAACAGAAAATCCTTCCAGGTAAGATCTGGTGTTCGTCGCAAGTGTGCCGAGTGACCAAAAAGCACGGCTCCCATCATGACCTTACCAGGCAGAGTTACAGGGTCCGTGTCCCAGTTCCCTTAAAGTGCAGGCTAAGTCGCCATCGAATGGGTTACAAACACCTGTGCTGCAGAAGCTAGGATCCTGATAGTAGCTGGCGCAGAGAGTCCCCAGGCCTCGGCCCAAAAGAAAGAACCCCCCCACCCCCCCCCCCCCCCCGACGACACTCTCTTCAACTACGAAAGGCTCTCCGCTACATGGACTAAGAGTGAAGGCATCAAAGCCCTTGGAGAGGAACGCTGGTGTAGATCTGCCGGTCATAGAGGGTCGTAAAGAAGTTCGTGCCCCACAGCATGATGAAGAGAGCTAGTGCGCTGAAGAATTCTCGCTGGCGATCAGGCTTTGCGACAACGTTTTGCTCTAAGGTGCAGAGAAGGAAGCCAGTCACGAGCACCATGGTGTAAGCATACACGACGGAATCCACGATAAGCAGGGCAGCACTGCCAGGGTCATTTCGGGCAATGATGAAGTGCTCTGTCTCTTGATAAACGTGCACGTCCAGCTTCCGGGAGCAGAGGACGACAACATAGACAATTCCCATGCTGCCTACCACAAGCAGAAGGATATAGTCTGGGACAAACGATGTCAGCCACTTCTCGCGATGCTGACGCCTGGCAGGGGGGCATGCACCAAGGAGCTGGCCTGCTATGAGTCCTGCTGGTTCTCTTAGAATCTCGCCTGAAAAGGCTGGTGATCATTCTCTGAAGACCACGCACCACCCCGTGTGGCTGCATGTGCTCCAAATCCTCAAAGCGCTTCTGGTACATGGCCTTGGCAACATCATGCCGGAACATGCCACAGCATTCTGGGACAGCCCAACCAAAGTAACTGCCGTGGCGCTGGGAGAGGTTCCATCAGATTCCCACAAAGGTGGTTCAGCACTGTCACTTCTACCAGCCGCTTCACCAACAAAAAATAATAGATGTGCCGCCCGCCTCAGTTCTTCTGGCATGGTGCGGAGCACTTCGGAATGAAATGCGAACACGCCATCAACAAAGAGCCCGGCTTCCAGGAAATTTGGAAATCGCTTCGTACTTCGTTGGCTTTGAGTCCGGCACCTCCTTCATCAAGAAAGTTGTTGACGAGATCGTTAGCAGCAAGTAGCCTTGCGGGGCCAATAACTGCATTGGATACCGGTGTCCATGATTTGCAGGTGCAGTCAAGTCACATACGACAGCGACGGCCACCAACCAAAATCCCAAACCAGCAAGAAAGGTCTCCGACGGCCTTCTCTGCAAAGCTAGGTCACACATGACTAACATAGCATGTTTGATGTTTGTGCTGTCCTGGGTGTTCGCTGTGATTCACAACACCGTCTCCAAAAAGGTTCCTCTGTCGCGTGACGCAACTTCAAGAACCTCGGAGGCGAACTGCTTGAGACTGAAACAACTCTCAAGACCAATCGAATGTGATCAGCCGTGCCAAGCAGCGGAAACAGCCCGTGAGACAATCTGGTCAACCACGCCGGTCTCGGCGATGTCCTAAAGAGCACACGTGTCGCTTTGGGGAAACGCCGCTAGAGTCATCAGTGTCACTGGTCTCTTGGATTCCACATGTCCTGTCTGTCGCCTCCTCGCTTAGGGGGCGGGCAGCGCCAGTCTCCACTGAGAAAGACCGCGACATTGCAGGCGGTGTGTTCGGGATGTTCAAGTTAGAGCATGCTGGGGCTGGAACTGAGGCTGCCTAAATACCTGCTCAGCCAGTCGTACAAGTCGTGCGGAAAAGGTGCGAAAAAGCTGGACAGCCGCTTGGGCAAAGGAAACACCACCGTCACGTTCCAGCAGTTCGCCCACAAATCAACCGCTTCGAATGGACCTCGATGTCACCGTCTGTCAGCACCAACAGCACGAAGTACCTTCACTTCGAGCTTTCTCTGTCTTTCTCGCTCACATCTCGCAGGAGTGCCGTATAGGGTTCTGTCGCTGCAAATTTGCACTTCGGGAAATATGATCTCATTTCGCTGCACCTGCACATGGCAGAAGGCGCACCTCATGTCGGGCGGTGCCTCTGTGATCTTGAGGAACTTCGGCTGAACGTAAGGCCTGCACGAAATGCCATGAGAGCCTGGAGAAAACGGAGCCATTCAGCTATTCAGCTCACAGGCCTTGCCATGTTGGCGGCCAGCTTAATGACTTCCTGGGCTTGAGCATGTGGGAATGGGACGAGGCACATGAACGGCAGAGTCCAGAAACGAGGATGGCTTTAAAGCCGGGTTGCAGACAAATACGAGGGTCCATGAAAGTGGCAAACTCGAAGGGCGCGATGGTATGCCTTCAGCATGCCCTCCACGCCTGGATCGGGAGCACACTTGCGAGAAATTTTGACCACTATGCTTTCTGGGACGCCTTCGACTTCAGGTTGAAAAAAGTCACCAGTAAGAGCAAAGCAATTGGAGACGACCTGAGCAAACGGGCTTGGTACTGAACTTCCTCCAATCATACCCTGCTTGCTGCGTGTCTCCCGTCATGTTTCAATAGCAAGATGCTCAAGATACTATGCACACGGCACCGCGCTCTGTACTCGCCTCTGGGCTGCGAACTGAATGTGACGGTGGTATTTTGGCCCCGAAACCATAAATGGGATAGCATTTGTCGTTGTCGTACACAGACATTACCTCCCCAAGGGCCCTGATAGCTGTCGCATAGGCCGTCTCCTCGTCCATGTTCACCACACTATGCCTCGGTTGGCCAAACTGGACCGACAGAAAAAGCAGATGCGCAATGAGCACATTAAGCAAACAATTCAGTCGAGCAACATCGACTTCGGATTTGTCTGACCAAGGTTGGACCGCGTGAAGTCTACCGCCACCATGAGCTGAAGCTCCAAGCCGCCGCGCAAGTAGTCTAAAAAGGTATAGTGCCGCTTGAATCGGTGTCCATCTAATGTTACGGAGCCCACAAGCGGCCCAAAGTTGCCTTTGCCACCTCCCGAGGAACGTTGGGGCAAGTTTACAACAGGAAGTTGCTCTCACACCACCTTGCCTTGGTTTCGAACTTCTGAGGATGTCATGGACAAGGTCTTGCTACCACCAGATGAGTGGCTCATCCTCGAGTGCCCTGAGATTTGCGAAGAGGTCCTGCGCGGCAGCACAAGCCTACATTTGCCTTAGTCTTGGCCTCTTCTTCCCGCAGCCTGTGACCACCGCCGCTATTGCCACCAGATATCTGCGATGCTGTCCTCCGAACTGATGAATGGTGGCAACCTACCAAACGCTCAAGAGCTACAGCCATCTCTGACGACGAAGTCGTATGGTGAAGATGAGGGTTTCCATGGTGGCACAGCGTAACAGTAGTTTCTGACGCCATGGGACCCGCATTGTAGCCTTGCCGCACCTCGATGACAGTTCAACATCCCCAGAATTACTCGCCTTTTGCGTAGCCAAGTGGTGATTGGAATGAGGATCATCACCATCACCATCACGACCATCGGCAGCATCAGTGGGATCACCTATGATCAAGACGGTCAACCGAAGCAACGCCACCACCATCATGAGCAGCATTATCATCACCATTGCTCTTTGCCAACGCAGGTGACACAGGCAGGTTCAGCGAGCCACGCGGTTTGAAGCCACTACACAGGTGGACCTATGGTCGAAGACTTGGGGCCTCGCAAGCAAAATTCTATTCGCTCTACGCCAATCCGCTTGGTTTCAACCGATATGGAAAGCATGCCAGTCTTAAGGAAACTCCTGGCTGTTAGTCGAGACGTCGTTCGCTTCTCGCCCGAGGCATTGGTACTCTTCCTGCCGAGGTCTGCACCGCACTCCAACAAGCAGTTCCGGGAAGTACACGAGGCAGACTCAGTGCCGGCTTTCAGCAACGAGTTCCAGAACGAGTGACCGGAGTAACCAACGCTGCATCACCCCACTCCCCCTGCTATCCCTGTCCTCTTGCTATCTGTCCGCTCCACGGAAAGTGTGGATTGCGCACGCGAGTTGGAGCCAGACCTGGCCCAAGACTGCTGCCGGCTGCCTCCAAGACATCCCAGGCCAGGCGCCTTGAACCCGATCCGCTTCTGCTGCTCTTCGTAGCAGATCGTAACATGGCCGCCGTGGTCTTCACACGCGTCATGCCCGAAATCCTGCACTCTGAAAGCAATCGCGACACCTGCCGCTGATCTTTGTGCTGGCCTGGGACCCTCCCGTTTGTAGAGCGGGAAGGTGTGGGGATTTCCTCTGCCCACGATTTTCTGCAGCTCCTCAGAGAACGGTCATGTTTAAATCAGAGGTGTTGTCACACAGCAACAAAAACACGAAGTCCAGTCCTCGAAAGTGGTGATGCACTCACCGATGTAACGATCCTGACCCAATCGGAACCAGTCATGCACCTTGGCTTCGGGTCAGGATCTCGCCAATGAGTGGCTGGCCCAACGAGGTCCGATCCGTGATGATCACATCCTGGTAGATGTCGCAAGAGCTCGTCTGAGCCACTGTGTAGCTGCTTTCCTGCGATCCATGCGAATGCCGTCACGTGGCTGCTGCTTCTCTGTAGCAGCCACAAGAAAGCGTCCTCGTAGGATGCCTCGCTCGTCTTTCGAGCAACTTCGCTTCGGTAAACCGGCGCCAAGAAGAGCTCACCGGTATCGTACACACCCTGCGCAAAACCAAGCCACGAATCACAAGCCAAATTCGGACTCAAGCGAGGTGACATCGAAACGACATGCGGCGCTCGCACCACGCGCCTCGATGCGGTTCAACACAAAATACGGATCGCATTTCCTCTTCCAGAAGTCTGTAGACTTCAGGTCGTGCGCGGACAATTGGAAGGAAAGTTCCTCATAATGAGCGATGACAAGAACTCAAACGAGCTCCATGTTACGATGTTGTCTTGTTATGTCTGCCGCCTGGGGACGACCTTTGCATTTATAGATTCCTCTGCATAGATGAGGAGCTTGCCAAGGGGAGGATCTCGTGGTTTCCTCGCGGACAGCTCTGGCAGCGAGCAGGAAACTCAAACCGACTAGCGCACCGAGTAGTCGAGTCGCGCCTCTTCCAGCACGGACAAAGCGACGTTTTCACGAACCGACTCGAGAGCATGGGGGATTCACGAACGGAGGCCGCGGCATTTGCGCAGCGGGGGTTCATAAATATCAACTTCGCGCACTGTGAGAAATAAAGCCCTGCAACCAAAACCCTGGACCTTGAAAGCCCTACAAGCTACGACTTCTTGAAACCTAGCAAACCCGAAAACCTAGACCCACAACTTCTGAGAGCCGTAAATCCGCTTGTTTAAGCTTGAGACCTTAGACCCGAAAAAAAACCTGAGACCCTCGAACCCTCGGGACCGTGAGCCCTCAAAATCCTCGGAACCATCGAGGCCCTGAACCCTGAAAAATCCAAAAAGTTGACCGCAAAACAAACACTCTGGACTTGCGCGGGTTTGAATCGAATTTGCAATGCTTAAACCGGCTGGTGTGCTGAAATCTCCAGTGCTTGAATTAGGAGTGTGTGTTCGAATCGTGCTAAACATGCAAAGCCTGAAACGACAGTCGCGTCTAGTGCGCCCAGCGTGGTTCGGTGAGATGCGAGAGGCAAAGCAAAACAACCTGAAGACGGCAAAAGCTCCTGCGCACGTTCTCCAGCTTCTTCTTGAGCCACCCATGATTCTTTGGGTTTGATCGTGCATACACGGCCTCTGCCAGGTTAAACTCGGCGGAGCCAACGAACTTTTGCTCCATTAGGTCTTCTTGCATGTTCTGGTTGCCTCGATCATGTGCATTCAAATCATTCAGGTTGCTGTTGGTGGCTTGCAGGTGGAGAAATACTCAAACCTGCGCCAAGACACGGATTATGTAAATTTCCACCCTGATCCATCGAACATGCTCCTCAGATTAAATGGGCTCCGAGAGTTCCGGTAACAGCGCCCGAATCTACAAGCATTGATAGTCGTGTCAAGTCTGCAAAACTTGGTCGATGCCAAACAATGACCTCTGCTAGCTGCTGGCGCTGCGGAGGCTGCTGTCTGGGCCCCTCGTGCCAAGTGGCTATTCGAAACTGCAGCTCGAACATTTTCTCCCACACTGGCCAGCAAGTTTCCTGCCCGCAGATCTCAGTCGAGCCGTACCTGGACAGATGTGGCACCGTGCCAAGTTGGCGAGACATTGAAGCAACATGCCTGATAAGGCCAGGCACTCGGTCCAAAGATCGTCCGTGCCCAACTTGGAATACACTACGGCAACCGTGTTTCCTCAGCTGCAAAGGTCGCTGGTCAGAAGACCTCGTGACCATCTTCTCGGTGACTGGACCAATTCTGAGCAAAGCATCGTCCCTTCCGAAGGCCCTCGCATCGCAAGCCTCGGCAACACAGAAAGGAACAGACCACTTCGCTTCGCATGCCATCGCTATCGCCGGGGAACTGAGAAGAACGGTAGATGAGTAGTCATGCAGGAGCACTTCTGCGCCTGGTGCAACCATGCCTGGGACGACAGTGTGGCGCAAAGTCTAGCAAATGTGGCAACACGGCTGAACTAACAACAGGTCCGACCAGCAACGAGGTGCCTTTCGCCTTAGGCGAACCATCCGAAAATTCGACCACCTCATCCTTTGCGGCGCTGTGCCGGCCGCCCATGTTTCCAGCTACATCAGATCATGCCGAATACTCGAGACTCTAGACATTCCCCCCCCCACATGACAAGAACACGAGTACATGCACTATCTACGAGCGTGGAAGAGCTTTGGAGACGGGCTGGGAAACGAGCTTTTGATCCAAGTACCGTCCCTCCCGGCATAGGCACCATCCCTGGGCCACTCCATGGAGACTTGAGCCAACATCAACAAGGCATTAGGAGCACAGCAGGAATTGTCGCTCAGCATCGCAGGATCGGAACAGCAACCCAGCCGCAGGGGCACTTTCCGTCCAAAGGCTCCGTGGACTTGTGCCACGGACAGCTTGGAGTGTATGGAGCCCGAAATGCTTTCGACCTGGCTCTGCAGGCCCAAAGTCGGGACCATGGCTTGGCGCCACACCTAGACTTATGGAGTGAATCCGCTCGGCATGAAGCGATGAAGCGAGTATCACACCGAGGGGATCCAGGCACTGCGCCCACTGGGCCGTCAGCTTCGGAACACAATCCTTGACTGCGCCCATGTGCACATCAGGCATCGCATCTCGACAGGCATGAAAGCTGCCAGAGAGCCGAGAAAGGCTCTGAGGCAACATCTCTCGAAGTCCTGGCTGGGCCGTGATGGGACAACAACAGGTCTAGCAAAATTCTGGACGGCTTCTATGTGGCCTTGGAGGCGAGGGAGGTCAGGGATCTGCATCTCAAAGCTGCTTGCATCCTCGGCCTCTGCAAGATGAGCCCAGTTGCGGTCAGGGTTCAGGCGGTTCAGGCGGTTCAGGCCGGCGGGCCCAGGCCTTGGCCTTGGCGTTGGCCGCCATCTGCTCCTCCAAAAACACGCTTCTCTCGGCTCTGCACAGGGCTCTCCAAATTTCGCTGCACAGCACCTGCCCGGGGACGAAGAAGCTGCACGGCGAGTGGCCGTGGATGTACTTGGAGCGGAGGCAATGGACCGGGTTGGCAGAGAACCAGGTGCATGGTTCCTTGGTGACACATTCCACCAAGCATACAGCCTTTTCGGACTTAATTCGTTGCAAGCTTCCTCGGCCGCGACATCTTCAAAGCGGCATGGCCGGAGGGCTGCCTTCACCTCGACCAGATCTGCTCTTCTGCTCGCATCAAACTGCAGAATACTGCATATATGGAGATGCTGCAAAGCAGCCGGCGCGCTTGAACTGGCCAAGTACGGAACCAAGAAGACCAGCAAAAGAACATGAACGACCTGCTCCAGCACATGCGCCAAGAGGCAGCTCTAGCTCTGGACCCGGTACAGGTCACCATGCAGAAACCAATCGCAGGGTACCGTGTGAAGCACCCCAGCCGCTATGCAAGTGAGGATCAGGTGCTGCGCTTCCATGCCTTGATTGTCAGCTTAGAAATCTCGCACTTCTGCTGACACACTCTCAGAAGGGCAAGGTGCAGTACCCGACACCTTGGCAGTTGCCCTTGAAGACGAGGCAGGCTGCAAGCAACCCACAGCTCGGTGCCAACATTGCCTTCCAGATTGAGGCTGCAGCTCAAAACAGCCACAGAATATCAGAGACACCCTGCACTCCCACCTGGCACCACCAATCTACCTGCATGGATGCGAAGGTGGCGGCTGGTACTACCCGCAGAATGCGCCAATGGTCCAGCAAGTAGATGTACGCCTCTTTCAGGTCCATATGAACGCGAGTCATCACATCTTCTGCTGGAACGGCCAACGTCGCTCCCTTTTCCCGCTCGATTCTGTTGCAGAGCTGCGCGGCTAGGCCTGACCTTGGCCAAGCTCGACAAGGTAAAGATGGTAAAAGCTACACAGGCAAGGCGCCACGGTTACTTACAAAGCCTGTCCGAGCCAGCTGTGCCTAAATCTGCCTGCAGACGTTGAAATCCAAGCCACAGATCCTCCAGGAGCTCACGCGTTTGCAGTTGCTCTGCTGCTGTTGCACAAGCTTGCAGGACACTACCATAGCCTCACAGGTCGCTCCACGTCCCAAGTCTCACGTGCTACAACACAGTTAGGTCAAAGTGTGCAATGTAAAATCTCCTTCGGATGCTTCCAGGCAACAGACAATACTCGGCTCAATCTTGCACTGCCTCATAGCTGTCAGTACTCCAGTGGCCTCGCCAGGATCTGAGGCATCACTCCGAATGAAGAAAAATAAATGCCGGCTGTCGTCGGCAAATGAACACCCCGACCTTGGGCCAATCGCCCAGGGTCTCGTAAGCCTTGGTGGCCACGGCGTAAGAGATCTCGTTCGGAGCGACTGCCTTCCATCAGAGGTGCATTTGGCATCATTTGGCATTCATGGCGGGTCAGCACGCCCAAAACACTGCCTGAAACCAGCTTTCGTAGATGCGGATGGACAGCGCTGCATGGCCGCCCATGTCACAGGCACTCATGGCCGCATTTACGGTGATCGCTGTCGGTGCGAGGCGCTGGTGATCCATACCTCAGTAAAGAAGGTTCAGATCATCTAAGGCAGCTCGAGGTACCAGTCACATGCTGGTCTAGGCACCTTGAACCGGATCTGAAGGCTCTCTCATGGAAAACCAGGGAGAAGGATCGGTCAAAGGCTTCGAACAACACTGAAGTTGTGCGGGCCCGCATATGCCGAACAACCAGCTGTGAGATGTCTAGCATCATTTGGGTCGTTCGTTTACCGCCTTTTCTTATCCGGAGGCCACCACATGCCACCACTTGGCTGCATTGTCTGCGCTGGCCGAATGCTACAGCGGACGAGAGCTGGCACTGAAAGCAGGAATGCACGGCACATCGGGAGATGTAGTTGCAACAAAGCTGCATTCCAGCGAATTCAGGGCACATTGCCAGTTTGACACGATGGAAAAGCCGTTGATTAGGGAGTTATAGCTGATCACATCGGCCCGAAGCGCTGCTTCTGCCATGCCATCAAACCTCGCGGTGTCTGAGCTCTTCGGCAAGCTCTCGCAACCCTCAAAAGCCTGACGCAGACAAGTGGCAGATCCAAAGCAACGAGCCAGTGGCCGGCTTTGGCACAGCTACTTATTGCGGCGTTGAAGGTGATCAGGTTCGGCAAAATCCTGATGCCACTGTGCAGCACATGAAGCTCACACTGACATCCAAGAGTTGCAACCGCACCCTTCCGCATGCACGATCTGCATCAAAGCCTCTGCTGAATACCCATGACGGTCAACACCTGTAGCGCATCTTGCCAGCGCCAGTCCTGCTGGGCGCAGCAGCAAAGCTTCACAACCAGGTGTTGGCACAACGGAGAAGCGAATCAGGTCACGCAGGACATGCCACCAAAGCCAGATCCTTCTCACAGGCACTGACGACAGCACTGTATGAGATCACCTTTTCGTTGGCTTGGATGCAGGCAAACGTCAGGCTCTGCAACTGTCCACTCCGCTTGTCCACTGGGTCATCACTAGCCCCTTCTTCCACAGAGCCTACCGTGTCCTGTAAGTTGTGCTGTGTCTCGATTTATTGCAGGTACTGACTAGATACAGAAGCGATCTCATTCAAGGCGCGTCCGGTGTCAGAGACAGATCCATCATCTCGTCCAGTAGGCAGAAGGCATGCTCAGCACAACCACCTTTCTCGCACGCACTGATCGTGGCATTGTACGTTGTGACCTCACCCGCTGGTGCATGCAATGGGTTGTGTTGCTGCAAAAAAGTAGGATGCTCAGCCTGTGGCATTTGGAAGCTGATTCGGCGGCATGGCCTGCAACAGCCTCAGGTCGCTCCTCTCGCACGGACGAGGCTAAGTAAGACCTTTCGGGTCGGCTTGAGCTCAGGCCGGCGACGTCAGTGCCTGCATCCACTGTCCACTCTTCTCACAGGCAGTGATCGCAGCGTTGAAGCCTTACAGCTTCGAGGCTCGGATGGTACACGAACCAGGCAACGTGTATGAGTGTGGGACCAGCAGCAATGGTTCTGTTAGTTGGCAAGTTTGGTTATCTGGCCAACCGCAGCTAGCACATCGCCCTAGCTCAAGATGCCCAAACTTCGTCAAAGCAGTCGTCTCATCTGTCTTCTCGTGGTTTACTTGCTCATGCAAGGAGCTAATGACGTCGGGAGAATCTCTCTGAACGAGCTCCTCAAATCGACGGAGCGGGACAAAAGACCATCTCAGCATGCATTTGTCACGGCGTTTAACACTAAGAACTTGCAGGACCAATGGCCTCCAACAAGTTCACAGCATCCCGCCAACGAGAAGCCTGGGAACGCAAGGCACTTAGCAATCACGGTGGTTTCGGCACGCGGTGGGGACAGCCTTCCCGCAGGCACTCATGCACGAGTTGTAGCTGATGACATCCGCTTCTGCCTGAACAGCCTGAGCTCCGGGAGGACATGGAGGCGACGAGACCGGATGGTGCGAAAGCCGAAGACGCAATCAAGATACCCGCATGCTCTGCAGCAGCCACAATGCGTGCTCCCATTGCGCACACTTCTCGCAAGCACTGATCGATGCGTTGTAACCTGCCGATGGCGTCGCTGGACTGATTTCGACGGAGAGAGAAGCATGGGTCTGCAGATGTCTTTGTGACAAAGCGGCTCAAAGTGTTCGGTGGGACATGCCAATCAACCATATTGGCGAGCCTCAGCCAACCCACGATTCTCGTCCAAAGTGAGTCAGGAGTCAGAAGTGCTTTGCTTCGTGGTCGCATAATGGCTAATCTCCGTGGCCGAGGAACAGCTGCAAAGCAGCCTGCCAATCATTGACCTCGTGAACAAGCTCAGAAGCGTGGTAACATGAAAAACATCACATGGAGTGCCTTCTCCAGGGCACTGATCACTGAGCTGCAGTGGTACACGTTCAGCTTCACATCACTGCTTCGCATCGTGCCGAGTACCTCCAAAGCTAAAAATTCCAAGGTTTCAAATGTCTACAGTTTGCACAGTATCGCTGTCGGCCTGTTGCGCCAGGTCCGCTTGCCTCTGCTTAGCGAGTCGGCTGAGAAGGGCCGTGCAGAACCTGACGCTTTTTTGTGACTCTCAACCCTGCTTCTCGTGGCCCTTCGTCGCGCCGTTGCCCTTTTGCCGCACCTGGGATTCCTTCGCCAACTCTCCAGGAAGGGATGCAGCACCTCCGGCTCCAGCAGGTCAGTTCAGTCGCTGCTTGGGCCAAATGGATGCCTGCTGCAGCTCTGCATCGTTGGCACCGGGTGGCAGGGTTTGTAAAGCCGCGAGCTCTGGGAGCTCCGCCTTCGGCTTCGGTCCTCCGTCCGTGTGCGACCGCTTTCCCTGGAAGTCTCAGCCCTTCTGCTTCGGAAAATGGTGCGCCTGGTGGTTTGCACTCCATAGCAATTCTGGGCGGAAGGGCTTGAGCAGCTGAAGCACGGCGAGCAAGAGTGAGCAAGAGCCGGACGCGGAGCAGCTTTACATGATCCACTTCTGCCTGGCAGAGGCTTAGCATCAAGAAGATCCAGTGCGTGTAGCCGCCTGTTCAGCAAAAGGTTGTGAGAAGTCAAGCTCGAAACTTCGAGCCTGGGAAGAAGAACATCATCACCTGGCTACATGACACAAGTGTCAGCCAGTGTTCAACACACGGCCATTCCTATTAATCATCATTGAGCGACGGCGAGAGAAATGTTCAGGAGCGAATCGGCATAGCGGCCGAATTCGAAGTCGTTGGCTGAAAGCAATGCTGTGGCGAGCATGGGGCTCCTGAGTCAGCTGAGCAATGTGTGCGTCCCGACCGCCTGGTAATGCAGACCAGTTTCATCTCGGGATGGGAGCGCACCAGCAAGATGCCAACACGCAGTAGGCCCTGCAAGTGTCAGCAACTTTCTTGCCAGGCTTCCCTCCTAGACAGGGCGAATAAGCCTCCGGCATAAATCGTCACGAGAGGCTCACAAACAAATGGCACCAGGAATGTTGAAGGGAATGCATACTCGTACCTGCTTCCACCAGGTTAGTAGAACTTGGTGAGGACTTTGGCTCTGGTGCAGCCAAGCGTACAAATTCTGCCCCATCGCACGCTGAATAGCATACGCCTTGCGTTGCACCAGCGTGGAGCATCCAAGCCCAGAAATGCACCAATCCACGACTCAAGCACGCTAATTCGAAACTCAAACTCGAGAGAATTGCCGCGACCTCGAAGCGCTGGACAAAGTACGGAAGCTTGGACAAAGGGGTGCCATCGTGCGTGCGGAAGCCCATGTGAACCATGACCGCGAAAGACATTTGGTAGGTCATCCTGCAAACGTGTCGACTCTTTTCCAAGACTTCCTCTCTCTCTCTCTCTCTCTCTCTCTTCTTTCACTAGGGTACAGGAAGGAGCAAGCGACCCCCATGTGTTACTCTCTCTCTCTCTCTCTCTCACTCAGGACAGAGGAGGAAGGTGGTCCCCCTCACGGCCCTCACGCGCACTCTCTCTCTTTCTTTCGGCAGGGCCAGGGCTCTCTCTTCTTCCACAAAAGCAAAGGAGCGTGTCAAGCCCCCTGGCCACATGGGCCCCCCAGTGTTTGTGGGCTGGCTCTCTCTCTCTCACTCTTGCTTGCTTGCTTGCTTGCTTGCTTGCTTGCTTGCTTGCTTGCTCTCTCTCTCTCTCTCTCTTTCTTTCGCCAGGGCTAGGGGCAAGAGGGGCAAGCCCCCCTCACC